CGAGCTGAGCCGGCTGGTTTTTTCAAAATTTTAATCGGTTTTTTTTTTGTTCAGTTTTTTCAGTTATTTTTTTTCCGGTTTTCTCAGTTTAATCGGTTTTTCGGTTTTTTTACTCACCCTTATGGGTCATGCAAGCAAAGCCAATGCTTAACTCATCAAGGAAAGGGTTATATATGGGCTTTTATTCTTTTTCGGTTTAATGAGGTAGATGATATATGACCTGCTTTAATTATTAGAAAAAAATTAAACAATGTGTCATTTAGAATTCTTAAAAATTAAGTCATTGGTGTGTCCAAATAAATATAAAACCAAAAAACCTATTTTGAACCAATATTTTACCAAAAAAAACCTAGAAAACATTTTATAAGCCGTCTTAAATCATTCTATGACCTCCAAAAGTGCAAAAAAACATATTAAAACTTGCAACCAACATAAAACCAAAATCTTTAAGAGCTCATATATATTTTTCTAATTGTTTTCAAGATAAAAAAACACATAATCTTAACCACTCTCAATATAATAAGACTATTTAACATAAAAATTGACTGTTTTGATGGTTAAAATTATTATCGATAATAATTTTTTCTCTTCAAATTGAGACTTGACAACGATCTTTCCTTCCTCCACCAAAAAATAACTAGAAATAAAAAAAATAAAGTTTAGTATCAAAATTTATTTTAAAAAAGTTACAAGAATCGATTCTATATTTTACCCATGTTTTTCACTTCAATCCAATTTTTTCAATTCAACCATTCATTAAAAAAAAAAAACATCCAATTGAGTTTAACAATCATATGAAAAAAGGTTTGATGAACAAAATAATTTTTTTAAAAAAAAAATTATACTATTATAATTTATGGTGAATTGTGAAACGGTAGACAGTAAAAATTGCTAGAATATTTTACCCCAAACTTTAGTTTTTATAACTTTTTTTTTTCAATTCAACCATTCATTCCAGGAAAAAACACTTAATTGAGTTTAAATCTAAGCTCAAAATGGCCCAATCATGTAAAATGAAAAAAAGTTTAATGATTAAAATAATTTTTTTAAAATTATACTATTATAATTTATGGTGAATTGTAAAAGGATAGACAGTAAAAATTGCTATAATATTTTACCCCAAAGTTGTTAATTCTTTTATTTGGTTTTTGGGCTATGGTGGTCGTGCCTTCTGCTTCTTCCACCTAATACACTGTTTGTTTATTATAATTTATTTTATGAGGCAATCCATGTTTCAATCTACAAATCATTTCCTCGTTGTGTTTTGTTGGTAGTCCAATAAAAAAGAAAGCCATCAAGTATTTGATCGAAAAATACTAGAAAAAAAATATAATAATATTTTTAGAATGAATTTTCTTTTTTATTAAAAAAGTATATAAAAATATGATCTCTTTATTTTTACAATCTTCGGTTCTTCTATACAAGTTTCTGCTTCTTCTTTTTTCCTTTCGCTACAAGAAGAAAGATTCTTTTATACACACACACAGATATATTGAATTATAGTTGAGTCAAGATTAAGTTTATGATATTCACAATTTATCTCTTACCACTGATTAATTAATTATTAAAAAAAAAAAAAACAGTTTACTTGTAACATATTCATTATGTTAAAATTAAACTGTCATTCTTAATGAACAAAGTTGATGTTCTATTTTTTTTATATTTGAAATGATATATTTTGGTTTCAGAATATTACAGCTTGTTATTTTAAGATTGTACTATCTTATATATATAATTTAAAATTTTAATTTAATATACATAATTCAAATTCATAAATAAATTAATTTTAAATTATGTATTTTAAATTCCAAACATAATATCAAATAACGGAATATAATTTTAAAATTTAAACATTTCTATCCAGCAACTATTAGATTGTTAGTTCATGCTATTATATAAGTCTGATTAATTTTTTAATATAAAAAAAACATCCAAGTATATCTAATATTTTTCTAGTATAAAAAAATAAATTGTGTGGAACTTGACTTTATTAACTCAATAGGTTCAAAAATAACTTGGTTGACTGGTAAAAACATAGTTTGATTAAAAAAATCAAGATAACATATTAGATTGACTCAGATTAACTCGGGTTAACCTTACAAATCTATGACATGGATAATAAAACTATGATAACCATATAAAATAAATAAAAGTCAATTATAAAGCTTACTTCTTAATAAATTCATTGTTGGATGATGAAGTTTGGGAAAAAATTCAATTTAAAAAAAAAAACAATAAAACAACCTCAATGTACATGGATTAACTCACAAAATCAGTAACTCAAGTTATAAGGCGGTGATAACTTCACATAAAATAAATTGAAACAAATGACAAAGCCTAAAGCATTATAAAATAGATGTTGGATGATAAAATAAATAAAAAATATTAAAATTTTTTATATGAATATACTCGAATTATAAAACAACTTAATATTTAAAGGAAAAGCTAATAAAAACAAAAAAAAAATCAAGTAAATTGGGTCACGAGTTAAGTTGAGAAGTAAAATAATTAAAAAAAAAAGTTGTTAAACTCAATAAAGTTCATGATCTAAGTTACGGGTTTAGTAGGTCAAGCTGCGATATTTAAGTCGATCTAATATATCATTATCTCGATATTAAAATAAAATATCATGTCATTTAAAAAAAAACCAAACTATGTTTTTTACAGGTTGTTTGAATTATATTTAGACTCATTAAGTTGATTGTATTATATTCGAATAATTCTTACCCAAGTTAATTTTAAACTCATGTTAGATAAGAAATCGGGTAAAAAGATTTTAAATTTGACCAACTAAATTGAATCTAATAATAATGCCAAATGTTTTTGTTAGGACCTAAATATTTTGTTTTAAGTTAGAAAAAAAATTAATCCAAAATGACATTAACATCTTCAAATGGTCCATTTATAAAATATTTAAAATTTTTCAATATAGAATTACAACATTAACAAATACTCTAAAACACGTAGGTTTTCACTTTAGTAGTTTTTTAATATTTTTTTTCTTTTTTTTACTTAAAATTGACTTTTTCTTCTTTTTTTTTTATTTTTTTTTCAAAATTATATTTACTAATTTTTTTATATATTGAACTGGTTAAAAATTTAATTATATAGTTTTTTTTCTTTAAAACATTGTGGATTGCTATAATATTCTCATATATTGGTTTTTTTTCAAAATGATCTTCGTAGATTTTATTTTTTTATATTAAGTTGGTTGAGAATTTAGCTTTATAGTTTTTTTTTAAAAAAAATATAAATTGCCACAGTGTTTCCCCTATATAGTTTTTGTTTTGCTGCAATGTTTCCTCACATATTTTTTTAAAAATTATCTTTATTAAATTTATTTTTTTAATATTGAGCTGGCTGATAATCTAGCTTTAGCTTTCCCCACATGTTTTTTTATTTTTTTTCCAAAATTGTCATTTTTTACATATTTTCTTTTTTGTTTTGTTTTGTTTTTTTCATAATTATTTTTGTTGATTTTATTACTGGTTGAAAATTTAGTTTTTTAGTTTTTTTTAAAAAAACACTATAACTTTCCCCACGTGTTTTTTTTGTTCGCTTTTGTTTCTTTTTTTTTTACATGTTTTTTTTTTCATTTTTTTTTACCAAAATTGACTTTTTAAAAAAAATAGTCTTTTTGGTTTTTTTATATATATTAAGCTGATTGAGAATTTAACTTTATAGTTTTTTTTTTTAAAAAAAAACACTATGGATTGCTATAGTGTTTCCCTTACATGGTTTTTGTTTATCTGCAGTATTTCCCCCACATATATTTTTTTTAAAAAATTATCTTTATCGAATTTATTTTTTTAATATTAAGTTAATTGAGAATTTAGTTTTAGCTTTAACTTCCCCCATGTTTTTTTTTAATTTTTTTCCCAAAATTGTCTTTCTTCTTTATATTTTTTTTCATAATTATTTTTATTGATTTTATTTTTTTTTACTATTGAGTTGATTGAAAATTTAGTTTTTTAATTTTTTTCTTTAAAACACTATATTGCTACAGTGTTTCTCTATATGGTTTTTTATTAAATAATTTTTTTTCAGAATTATCTTTGTCGATTTTATTTTTTTGATATTAAACTGATTGAGAATTTAACTTTGTAGTTATTTAAAATACTATAGATTGCTATAGTGTTTTCCTACATAATTTTTGCCTTACTACAGTGTTTCTCCACATGTTTTTTTAATCGATGTTTTTTTTTCCAAATATGTTTTTATCAAATTTATTTTTTTTCATACTCAGCTAGTTGACAATTTAGCTTTTTTTAAAAAAAAATATCGTTGATTGCTGCAGTGTTTTTTTATATAATTTTTTTAAATTGTCTTTGTTGTTTTTATTGCTTTTAATATCGAGCTGGTTAAAAATGACAACTGTAGATTTTCTTATGAAATATTATAAATTGTTATAGTATTTCCCTACATGTTTTTTTCCTTTTGTTTTTTTTATATTTATCAAAATTACCTTTGTTGATTTTTTTAATATTAAGCTGGTTGAGAATTATAATTGTATATTTTTTCACAAAACACTATAGGTTGCTACAGTGTTTTCTTAAATGATTTTAATATTTAGCTGGTAAAAAATTTAGCTTTAACTTTACCACATGTTTTTTTCTATTTTTCTATTATTTGTTTTTTGCTTTTTTTCTTCCAAAATTGTCATTTTTTTAATATTTTTTGTGTGTTTTTTATAATTATTTTTATTGATTTTATTTTATTTTAATATTGAATTGGTTAATAATATAACTTTATAATTTAAAAAAAAATATTATAAATAATAATAATTTTTTTTATATAATTTCTTGCACAAATCCACGCTAAC